TGCTTTCCTTCCCCCAGGAGCACCACTAAGCGTGAGCGCCCAAAGCGGCACTCAAAACACTGGAGGAGGACGGAGGAAGGGGTCAGATCCCCTCCTCCTGGAGCTGAGACAGCACAGACACATTCATCTGCAAACCAGAGCATCCCTTTCTCCTTCTGACCTCCACGTCCACTCCTCCTGGTCATAACCCCCCTGCTTCATACCTGCGCACGCACCAAGATCCCAGCAAGATCCCTGCCCTTTCCACTTTCTAATCAGAAGGGTAATGTCATAAGAACGAAATGAAACCAGGTCACTCTGTTCCTCCTGGCACCATAAGAAAGGCATTATGAATGAAACGATCACATCTTCGCTGCAAGTAACCGGAATGTCATCTCAGGAGTTTTTTTCAAACAAGATTCCAACTCTATCGTAGGCTCATCACTCCTAATTAAATCCATTAGCAAGTATACAAAGCAAGTTTTACTTAGCTTTTTACCATTTGCTCACAATATGTGAGTAGTAGGCATATTTTCAAGCCTAGATGTTATTAAAAAAATACACATTTAGGTAAATATAAACAGTGAGTATGCAAAAATGTAAAACCATTAGAATATTTATTTGCATAAAAGTACATGAACAGCTTTCAGTACCTCCTCATATTGTTCCAATTTCCAACACTATTTTATCTTCCAGTTTCAAAGACTGCATGACAGAAGTTTAGATTATCTCTTTTATCTATCACAGAATAAAAGAAGTTATGTACAGCCTTGTCTGGACACAAATCTAATAGCTCTATGCAACTTCTTGGTTTTAAACTCTAAAGAAAATACTTTTTCTCAGACTTACTCCAAATCTAATGTGCGTTCTTCATTGGATGATGGCAGTAGGCAGAAGCTGTTCTCAGCTTTAAAATGAGGTCTGGATTTCATTTGTAATAGTCTGCTTTATGTTACTCTAGCAAGTCTTTGAAGCAAGTATGAACACAATTTGTGCCTTCTAAGAGGACAACTTTCACCTTGCCAGGACAGTGTTGTCACTGGAAACACGGTCCACCTAATGTTCAATTATTATGGATTTCAGAATAAGGAGTTGTACAGCCTGTATTAATAATAGGATGAAAACGATTGTGAGCAAACAGCAATAGTCTCCTGCAAAGGGTGAAGATTTCTTTTCAAAAAGAAATTTGAGATGACCTTTTTGGATACTGCTAAACAGTTCGTTCTCTAGATTTACTTCAACATGGAAACAACTCAACATAAAGCTTTGGGCTTTTGGGCTTTGGGCTCCACCAAAGACGCAAAACCCCAGTGGACTGCAAAAGAAATTTATTTTTTTGAAAGAAAGCATCTCCAGTGCTTGTGAATTATTTTGTTAATGATTTTGAAGTTACAGTACATAGCAGGAGATGTACTAGCTAAATTAGTTTGCCTTGTATTTAAGAATATCACTCTTCAAAGTTTTTTGTGCTCAGAAGACAGGGTAATGCAATCCTAAAGCATGCTTCTAGGAGATGTAAATGTTAAAAAGTGACTTTTGCACCAACCCTGTGCAGCGCTACAGGCTTGGGGAAAAGTGGCTGTAAAGCTGCCTGGCAGAAAAGGACCTGGGGATGTTGGTCAACAACTGGCTGAATATGAGCCAGCAGAATGTCCAGGTGGCCAAGGCCAACAGCATCCTGGCCTGTATTAGAAATAGTGTGGCCAGCAGGACTAGGGAAGTGATCATCCCGCCGTACTCAGCACTGGTGAGATCCCACCTCGAGTACTGTGTTCAGTTTTGGTCCCCTCACTACAAAAAAGATATTGAGGTGCTGGAGTGTGTCTAGAGAAGGGCAATGAAGCTGGTGAGGGGTCTGAAAAATAATTGTTATGAGGAGCAGCTGAGGGAACTGAGGTTGCTTAGGCTGGAGAAAAGGAGGCTGAGGGGAGACCTTATTGCTCTCTACAGCTACCTGAAAAGAGGTTGTAGTGAGGTGAGCGTTGGTCTCTTCTCACTAGTAACAAGTGATAGGACAAGAGGAAATGGCCTCAAGTTGCATCAGGGGAGGTTTAGGATGGATATTAAGAAAAATATCTTCATCAAAAGAGTTGTCAAGCATTGGAACAGGCTGCCCAAGGAAGTGGTTGAATCACCACCCCTGGGGGTATTTAAAAGACAGGTAGATGTAGTGTGCTTAGGGATGTGGTTTAGTGGTGGTTAACGGTTGGAATCGATGACCTTAAAGACCCCTTCTAACCTAGATGATTCTATGGTTCTATGATTCTAGATGTCATTTTTGGCTATTGATTTTCAATACAGTCTTATCCACTCTACCTATCCCTTACTTTTCTAGGGGGCATCATTTTCTTTTAAACATTTCTGTAAGCTGTTTTCCATAGAAAACTTCTACTTTAATTCAATATTGAATTGAAAATAGTACATCTTTATTACTCAGTTGCTGATTGCTTTATATTGGCACCAACCAAATGTGAACATTAATTTTAATATCTTGGTGTTTCTTGGTAAGGCTGTTCAAGGTTAAAAAATTTATTTGCATTAACTCTATCTTTCTAGCTCCATTTATATTACTGTGGCACCAGATTTCTGACTGAGTTGATATTTGGATAAGAGGATGGATTCCAGACCCTCCTGGGCTTATAAACAGCCACTACAACTAGGGACCTATGCAGTATCTCTCACAAATTGCGAGCAAAGCACTGAAGGAATGGTGGGTGAAAGTCTGTTTGTAATGATGCTCGTAAATTGCAAAAAATGGGATTCTGACCTTGGTTACAATAGGGGCATTTTTTAATTATCTGTATCAATTTTTTAACACTACACTCTTTTATTGTGTCTTTCTTTTTCTACAGACCACTACTACCAACAGAGGAAGTCAAGGAAAATTACACAAATCCAAATGTCAGCATAAAACATTGCTACAAAATAAAAAAGGAAAGAGACGTGTTCTCTTAGAAACACAGAATGGTTGAGACTGGAAGGGACCTCTATATGTCCCTAGTTCAAACCACCTTGCTCAAAAGCAGGGTCAGCCAGCACAGATTGCTCAGGGCCTTCTCGATTTGGATTTTGAGCATCTCCAAGGATGGAGACAGTACAATGCCCCTGTGCAATATGTTCCAGTGTTCAACAATCCCCCAGTAAAAAAGTGTGGGTTTTTTATGTCTAAGTGGAATCTGGATTAAGATTTCATAGACTCATAGAATGGTTTAGGTTGGAAAGGACCTTGAAGATCATCGAGTTCCACCCCCCCTGCCACAGACAGGGACACTTCCGACTAGACCAGGTTGCCCAAGGCCCCGTCCAGCCGGGCCTTGAACGCCTCCAGGGATGGGGCATCCACAACTTCTCTGGGCAACCTGTTCCGGTGCCTCACCCCCCTCAAAGTGAAAAATTTCTTCCTAATGTGTAATCTAAACCTGCCCTCTTCCAGTTTAAAGCCATTCGCCCTTGTCCTATTACTACATGCCCTTGTAAAAAGTCCTTCCCCAGCTCTTCTGTAGGCCCCCTTTAGGTACTGGAAGGCCGCAATAAGATCTTCCCGGAGCCTTATCTTCTCCAGGCTGAACAGCCTCAACTCTCTCAGCCTCTCCTCATAGGAGAGGTGCTCCAGCCCTCGGATCATCCTTGTGGACCTCCTCTGGACACGCTCCAGCAGGTCCATGTCCTTCTTATGTTGGGGACTCCAGAGCTGGATGCAGTACTCCAGGTGGGGTCTCACCAGAGTGGAGTAGAGGGGCAGAATCACTTCTTTTGACCTGCTGGCCACACTTCTTTTGATGCAGCCCAAGATACGGTTGGCCTTCTGGGCTGCATTTCAAGGGCATGATCATCATCCCTCCTTAAAAATGATCAGAAAAGCAAGCTTCCATATTTTGAATAGAAAAGTTCATGCTTAGAAAGTTAAAACAAGCAGCTATTCAGATGGGAGAGGAGAGAAATGTTGTCTCTTTTTATATGTATACGTGGAGCTTTAGGGGATGTCAGGAGACCACAACATCAGATAAAGACAGACAGACAGGTTGGCCTATATGAATCAAAGACATCTCAGGAAAACAGTGCCAGTAACTAAAAGGCAACACAGACAAGCCATTGGTATTTTGAGTATGAACACTAGCAAAAAACTTCCAAGTTAAAAACACAGATGATTAAACTAAAGAGCTAAAAGCTACTTCCAAAGACACAAAAAGCCATCAGCTCAATGTAGTGTCACTTAAAGACAAATTAGGGTTATAAGACAGTTAGTAGGTGCTACCACAGTCTTTTATGATGATGCTTATTTTATCTGTTCATCATTCATGAATTTGATTAACTTCTTCAGCCAGAAAAAAGCACACAGTGTACTACACTTATTCCTCACTGCAGAGTGTTACCATCAACAGATGAAGACAAACTGAAATAACAGATTTTAAACATGCTTGCAAACTTGGGAGCAAAGTCATCTAGACAACAAGTCAGGCAATTCTCATTGCTTTCCTATGTAACACTCCCCTTGCCCCATACCCTGTCCTTGTTAACAATGAACTCTGGCAGATCCTTGATATTATATTAAATGTAGTAAAATTTTGCATATCTTAAGACTGAGTTATGAGTGAGATTATGATGCTTTATAATGGTCTTCTCATATTGTTACAGAACTCATTTTCCATTTCTGCTCATTCACAGAAAATTATTCTGCGTACAAAAGGATGAAGCAATGACCAAAGGAGTACAGATACCATTGAGACAATAAACTAGAAGCCTCTAAATTCTGTCAGTTGTAGGTGAAAGAGGGAAGAGAATGAGAAAGAAACCCATCAGCTGATGCTACCTGTAACCACCTCATCTAAGAATGCAAAAGTAAACATTGCAAACCAAATGTAAACAGGTATAAGACACTTCTCAGTTGGGACAAAGAAAGAAAGGTAAGGGGAAAAACAAAGGTGTATGTTTAAAAAAGAGGGAAAAGAGAGAGAAAAATACAGATTTTTTTTTTTTTCCCAAACCATGGCCATGTGCATAATATACATAAAGGTCCTTACCTTTTTCACTGACACTTTCACTTTCTATCTCCACATCTTCACAGCTAGTATATTCTGGTGTTGATGCCCCTTCTTCCTCTGAGCTACTAACTGACATCTGCCTTTTCTTTCCGCCTCTTTTTGCTCTATGAGGCTTTGGAGGGGATGGCCGCACTGATTCCGACTGGTCAGAGCTAAGGGAATCATTCCTTAGCATGGTCTCCATTTTCTCCCGCTTTGCTTTTCGCATGAGAATAGCAGAGCTAGGATCAAGGCGGCTCTGTTTTTTAAAGGAATCGTGGTTCTTGTATTCTACGTGTTCTATAGGAACTGGACTATGCCTGGGAGTTGGTGGGCTATGATTAGTTAATTGTTTAGAAACAGAAATTCTTACATCACCTGTTCTGTCTATAGAGTACGACCTCTGAGTTTCCACAAGAGATTTTCTGTCCTGAGTTCCCTGTAATTGTGAGCGTTTTCCTAATTTATTCTCAGGTACCTCCGCTTCCTCCATTTCTGTATGTGGCAAAGCTACATCACTGTGTCTTCTCTCATGCCGTGCTTTAGAAACTTTTGCATGCATGCGCATCTGCTGTTCCTCGGGATGTGGTTTTACAGGATATCTTGCCAGATTGGGGTCACTCCTGTAACGGGTATGATATTCATCTTCCTTCCTTTGTTTTTCATCATCAGGCACTTTGCCTTCCTCAAGTTTCTCTGGCAAGTCTGAGTAGTCCTGTGACTTGCCTTTCTCCAGCCTTCTACCTTCATGCCGTTCCTTACGTTCCCTGTCATCTGCTGGTCCTTCTTTTTGAAGTGAGGATTTTGGCACACGCTTACGCTCACTCTTTAAACCTTTGCCATTCTGGTCTGCAACCAATAGTGTCTTCTTCCTACAATGAAAACGAGTACAATAATTTGAAGAATTGAATGCAAAATAAAAATACCTGTCTACACTGTTATGGTAACTATATTACAAAGCAGGATAAGCTATGGCAAAACATATAGCAAGGTACTGGATCCATTATCATGAATTAAATCTATTATTTGTTCCAGTGGTACCGTTGTTTTACAATAGCAAACAACTTCCAGAGTCCACAAAAACCTAAAGTACAGATGGTCCAATTAATGAGTAAAATCACAAAGAATATTAACATGGGTAAATGCAGATAAGAAGAATTTACCCATGTAGGTAAGAAGACTCAAGGTTGTCTTTGTAGTAACTGCAGCACTATGACAAAGTATGTTCTCCATTTTTCTGGCAGCAGTCATGAGGGTTACAGACTAACCCCACAACTCACTTCAAGCACCCTGACAGTGTAGATATAAGCACCACCAAATGGACTATCTCCCACAATGCCACTACAGAAAGAAGTAATATGGATATTAAAAAAAAATGCAAAAGATAATATATCCAGAAACAATAATATTTGACCTAGTTTGCTCTACCCTATTAAAACTCTAAAAAGAAGTGCCCATTTCATAAGCATATAAGAAAAAGCAAATTGACTCCTTGAGATAAATTAATGGCATTCCTTTCTCTGGTAATAAAAGAGGATGAAAATGTAATTTATTTCTCTATACAGCCAAAGTACAAAACAATGAATAATGAAGCTGCATGAAAATTATGCTCTCTCCTCTTTCATCTTCTGCTTTGGGAGAATAAGCAAGCAAGAATCACAAAATTCCCTTATACCAGATATTTTTATTTCTCTCATCATTCCCATTGCCCTTTTGTTTACCATAGATTTTGAAGAAAGCTGAACAATGCTACGTGCTGTATTTGAGATTAACCTGCACCAGGACAAAGTCACTAGGACTTTTTTGTGGCACCAGATATTGCCTTTCACAACTGATAGGTCACAGATGCATCCAACAGGACAGGCAAAGTTGGATATGATCCAAGTTAAGCTCCTGGCTCCTTTTTCTCCATCTCCTGTTCCTTCTGAGTTTTTGGCAATAAATGGGACCTGAGCTACCATAGAAGCTCTCCATTCAGAACCCTTGGACTTCATTTGAAAGTCTCAATGACAAGTAGAGAACATTACTATTGTATAATTAATATAACCATCTCACTTTTGGACAGCAAAACAGAAATAGAAAGCATTTTGCTGCCCTAAAAGTGTCATTCAGCTGAATGACGACTTCTCTGTGGGCCTTCCCATCATTGCGGGAAAAAGTCAACAGAATTAGGGGAAGGCACCATGTGTTCATTTACATGATACTTAGAGGTAACACTAACCTGAGTTTTGGTACAGTTAAATCCAGACAGACCTCACTCACACAGTAAGTTACTAGCCACTGTTCATCATCCATTTTCAACTTCAATAGCTATAAAAAAAAATAATAATCCTCAACTGTTCTGGCTAAGGGAGAATATTCCATGGCAGACTCTTGTTTTGTTGCCACAGACTCTCTTCTCAACTGCTCTGCCATCTGCCAGGCAGCAGCCAAAAGAACAGCAACTGCTTCATCACATTAGCCTCTCTTGATTTGCCACTCCTCATCCCGTTCATCACAGTGAGCACAACTCAGGAATTTACTCATTTACTCACTTAAAATATCACAGTTTGCTTCCGGTTTGCTTTATTCTTGTGTACAACTTGCTCTGAATTCAAGATGGTACTATTGCTGTTCTTCATGAATGTTTACTTTTCAGATGTAGATGAGCTCTTTTAATAGTTCCTGGTTTATTACTAAAAATAATACAATCATTGATAAAAATATAACACATAAGGATATCTGACAGAATTCCACAGGGTGGGGTTTTTCTTTGTTTGTGAGATTTGCTGGGGGTGTGTGTGTTTTTTTTAAATTCTAGCACATTATTTCATCAAGTTAAAGGCTTGCTTAATAACTTTAAAATACCTGCCACATTTAAAATTTAAAAGTAACCTACAAATCTATATTAAAAGTGTGCACCAAAAAGGCATTGAAATACATGGAAATATCTGTAAAAATACTTTTTTTTCCTCATTTCTGCTGCACAGACCAAACCAGAAAATATATTTGCTAAGGAACATTTATCCTTCCCCTGTTGCTAAATCAACTTATTCTTTGTTTTTACATGGTTCTAGCCACACACAAGGCCCAGCTGACAGCCTTGTGTAATATTACTAAGCTAGAACTAGCATTTGTAATTGTGAGGCTCTATCAAGACAGAAAGCATTACCTCTCTCTGGGAGGTTCACTTCTAGACCTTGAGGAAACTTGCTTTTGGTCCAGGCCCATAGCCGGCTGCGATACTTCTGCTCCTTTCCTACGGTCAGACTGCACACTGGAAGAAGAGATTTCCTGTGATGAGGCAGTTGCTGTACTTAAGGGAGTCTGTGACCTCGATCGCTCTTGAAGTCTTGCTTTCTTTTCTCTCGGTGCATCCGAGCTTCCGCCGGTCGCTGTATCACTCAGTGTTCCGTCCTGGCTAGGTGAGGGCTGTGGTCCACTTCCAAAAAACCACGCTCCGGATTTTGTCAGGATTTCTTGTTGCTTTCGACATAAATTGCATACCCACATAACCTAGTTGAAGACAACAAGAAGAGTCAGTGCAGCTACCCCTCAGACCCTGAAATGCATGCTCACTATCACAGAGCAGGTACAATCTCTCTCTCTCTCCTCTAAACTGGTGAGACTGGTGGCTCACGACAGGACCCAGAACATGCTTCACCAAGCACTGACTGCACTGGCTAGAGCCAAGCATCCTACAGGCGCATGCTATGCGAGCTTCTCCAAAATGTGCTGTCAATATACGTCAGTCCTACCTGTAGCGATCCCCCCTCAGCCCAGCCCTACCTCTCTTCTGAATAAACGCCAACAACACAACCAACGCTTGTTGCTGGTGTTGATGCAATCGGGGGGGGTGAGTTGGGTTGTTTTCAGTGGTGTGGATCGCTGTCAGCAAAACCTACCAGACTGTAAACAGGACTTGTACCTTGGGTGGCGGAATCCTGCCCAGCTAACTCCCAACCTCCACCACCAAAGAAAACTGACACGGTATTTCCCTTTAGTTGATTTTTCTCACGTAACATAACTCAACATTATCCTGCAAATAAATTCAGCATTTATTGTGCATGGTTTTAGCTACCTCCACAGCAACTACTTACCAGAGATGTAGGGTAAGACCTAAAGAAAACTACTAAGAGAGAACTAAATTCACCGATGAAAAGAATGCATAAATACCGTATTTTTTACTAATTGGAAATGATCATTTACCATCTCTTTGAGTTATAGCTGTAGATAATAAATAAATTAAGTGAACATGTGTCCCTGGCAATCACAATTAAGCTGTGTACATAAACAGTGCTTCTTAGGATTTTTTTTAATTTTTTTTTTTTAAATTCCAGATACACAGATAAACAGGAGCACATACAGTAAAGAAAGACTTATATGTTTCAAGTCTATATACAGTATAAGACAGTCTTATGTACAGGAGTATATCACCAGAGAAAAATAAAAGATTAATCAGGACTCCAAAGTGTGTGAATATTTAAGAAAAAAGTGAGACAAAGACAAAAGGAGTTTTGAGGCAGAAGAACAAAAAAAGGCAAAATGTGTGAAGAATATACAAAAGGTGGGAATTTTGTCAGAAAAAAAACACAGATGAGAGGAAACAAAGCTGACAGAAAATAAGGAAAATGGTAAAGAAAATAGTTTAATGTGGAAAGAAGTAAAAGCATAGGTAACATTGTAAAGAGGGTAAGAAGGATGACGAAAGTTGGAATGAAAAATATGCTTGGATTATTTTGTGTAAACACAGGAACGATGCAACAGTCACAAAATTATAGCACACTAAAAATTAAAAGGAACAGAAAAAACAATCATTTCAGGGAAGAAGTTGCAACAGGACAAAGCTTTGGTACTGAGCTCTCTTATTCTCTGGCCTGGGGAGGAAGTGCATGGCTAACATGGCATGATGAAAATTTTAGGCATTTTCTATGATTAACATAATTAAGATTTATTTAAAACACCCTAGATTTGACTATCTGTTTAGGTCTGAAGCATACATCAGAACTTGCGATACCATTTCTGCACTGTTTGACCAAACCACACTGAGAAGACATCCAACTCTTTTCCCTGTATCTGGATTGCGCCTTTATCAAAAGACGACTGTTATATTTCATCTATTTAAGAAAGATAATAAAATACCTATTAAAATTTTAATTAATTAAAAAAACCTTAATCAAAAGCTACAATTATTCCAACAGTGGCACAAACATGTATGATGATAAAAACAGATAACCCTCAGTAGGATAATAGGAACAGCGACTTCAACAAAATAAACGCTAGTCCTTTAACAAAAAAATCCCTTGATTCCAAAATATCTTCTTTCCTTCATCTAGTATACCTCACAAAACAGAGATTCAGTTTATCAGACTATCTGTTCTAACAGAATAGGATTTTAGTCTACCTGCTATTATCATTACAGGTATTTAAAAAACCAGCAAGACTAAAAGGAAAAAAACCCCACATGTCTTTATAGACTGCGACACAATTGTGAGCTCATTAGAGAGCAAGAGTGTGCATTCACATGTTTCTGCATGTAAAATCTATGTCAATGCTATAAACCAAAGTCATTAATGAAAAATATCTTTGCCTGTATGTTATCAATTTACAGGGAAAGTTGAAAAATAGTGTTAATAAAAAAATAAATCAACTACAGCTTCTTTACAGGAAGGATAAAGAATAGTAAAGTAAAATTTAAATATTCTAATTAAATTACATATGTGTGTATGCATGCAAGCACATTTAAATGTAAAGATGGTAAGAGACTTCATTTACAATTTAATGTATTTGATCATTTAAAATATGTATAAAGTATGTAATAAACTTCAAGAAATTACCATTAATTTAAATAATCAGTTTTGATATTGTAATTCATTTTATGCAAAATATTATGAGATCCAAACAAAGAGGAATAGCTAATACACAAATAGACACAGAAAAATACAGAATACAGAAAGAAGAAATACTAGACATGTAAATACAAAATCATTTTTTAAGGCAGTCTTTAAACACTGCAGTTTGGACACAATACATACCAATCACCACAGATTACACATATAGGAAGTCTGCGTTATACTCACATGGAAGCTATACTACCATCCCTGTTTAGGAATCTCCTCAGGACTTAATAAATGCTACGTTTGCCTTGAGATATATTCAGTCCAAAAGGAAAAATAATAAAACCTTTTCTTTAGGAGGAAAAAATAACAACCAAAACTTGAGGTGACAGGACAGTTTCAGTGACAAAACTGTATATTGAAAAACATTTTTAGAGAAGTATGTGGAGCAAGCAATTTAGCAGCATGCAGGAATTATATCCTGATTGAATATACTGGGATGTGGTCCAAACTAATCTAAACTAAAGCAGGTCTGTGTAATAACTTATCTTAACAATCCACAGATGTTAGGCAACCAAACAAATGCTCTGATGAAGGATTACTGTTCTCTAATGTGGCTTCTGGACCTCCACGCGATGCATCAGTAAAATGAGGAGCGTTAGACAATTTTACTCTGGCCTGTCACTTCAAAAATCGTTTCTGTTTACTCTTTTCTGGATGGTGAGCTCTGATGCAGTGCTACAGTAAGTCATTCAAGACACCCAGATTCTGGTTTGTGTTGTTGGGTTTGTTTCTGGTTTACTGCATCCTTGCATAGGTCAACGCATATCTGCACATGAAGCTATTCAAGAGAACCAGTAAAGGGGTGCTCCTCATTCAAAGGGTTCATATGCAGGGCTCTGGAGAAATGTGCATTTTCACAGCATAGCAAAGGGTTCTGGGCTTAACTGCTACATAACAAAAACAAAGTGGCACATACAGGACTCAGCGGAGGTGTGTCAACAGTTCCCACACAGATTCACGTGGAAACTTTACAGGCTGCGTGAAAACATGCTAGAAGGATCCCATGCTTCCCTTCACGTGGAATACGGGGTATTTCATTCACAGAAAAAGTATTCCTCAAACTTACTCTTACAGGTACTGCTGAATGTGATCCACAATGAGTAGGAACAGTATTCCTGTACTAACACAACATGAAATTCCAACTTGAAAGAGCTCATAGTAAACAATATATACAACTATACACACAGAGAAAAAGAGCATTTTCAGTTACAAAAATAAGAACACTTCTTCATGATTACATAGTTCAAAACTGCAATTTAGAATGCAGAAAAAGGGTTTTTTCAGATTCACATTTCCAGCCTTCCAAACATGCACTGGGAGGCTAAAGTCACATTAGGGGGGGCACAAACTTTATACCAAATTTGTGTGACACATGCCAGGTAAACCTCAGACTAAGGTCAGAGCAAGTTCCCCAAATCCTTCACCCAAGCCCAGATTCTGAGGAGACTCTAAAAGCACACTCCTTCACGCTTCATGAATTTAGAAACAGCAAACCAACAGTTACACTGGCTGTCATGCATCCTGCTTCATCTCTGTACAGCAAATTAGGTAACAAGTGTCCTAATACAGCAGGCCACAAGTTATTCTGTACTGAACCTTCATGCTATCTTAAATATTTCCCCTCTGAATGGTGTATACATAACTTCTTTTCAGTTTATTGCTCTTGTTAATGTTCTTTTAGCCATCTTCTTCTGGAAGACACTTGATATTTTAGACACATCTAATTAGGCAGACCCTCTTCTCTGCCTGAGGCACCATTAACTTCAGCAGAGCTCTGGCACCGTCCTAAAAATCATCTCTTGAAAGTCAGAGGGAAGAAATGTTATCAATGTGCTCTCACAAAACTATTCATTCACAGAATTAAGTTAGACTATGTATCACTTAATGTTTCTGGGATAACACAAAACATGCAGCAAACCATGAAATTAGTATAGGGCATTGCATTTATCTCTTTTGCTATATCAAAATGAATTCTGTAATAAAATTCTAACTTAAGTGTCATGATGGCTTCAGTCCATTAAAATATAAATAAATGAAGGTGAAAATCTACTTGAACCCTTACATTAGTCCAAAATCTAAATAAGTATATAACTCCACCTATTTAATGAAAATGTGCTTGTGAATCCAAACTTCCATTAAATATATTTTTCACAATTTTACAGACAGCTGAGTTTGTCCAATGGCTCCTGGTCACCAACAGGGAAGGTCTTCTCCCCATCTCCCTCCTCTCTTGCTCTTCTTTCTCCTTGTCAGGGTTTGTTGTCTCCCTTCCTTGCTCCCATCTTCCCCATACAGCATACTCCCTTTCTTGACTATCGGGTCCTCCCAGAAGCCACTTGCATTTAAAAACATCGTAGAAATTTATCTGTATTTTTTAATTGGTTTCATTTTTTTTTGTCACTTCTATTTTTTCTCATGGAGGGCTATGATAAGTAGAGAAACCATGTGGCCAGAAACAGAGGCAAACAGGGAAGAGAATGTTTTCTCTACAGCAGTGGCTCACCATCTCCTGGTAAACTCCATCTTGAAATTACACTGATACTAGTACATTAAACTTGCACAGAAACGTTCTTGAGCACTGAAGCCAAATGACACGAAATAGCCTGCAGCTATGCT